ACAATGTTTAATATAACTCCGACTGGATTCGTCTGAAAGAAGAAAGTCATATACACCTAGGATGCCTCGGGGGTGAGTAAAACGCAGCCTAATTTTCATTTTTGGGTGAACTAACCTTTTAATGAAAGCAAACCTCTTTGGACTTTTTTTTAAACAACAAAAATACAATATATAATTAATACTACCATGATTTATACATAAAATTGTAGATGAAAAATGTAATGTATTATTTATTTATTTATTTATTTTGCATTAAAATAAGCTTCTAACCAACAGAGGGTTAAATGTGCTTAATTGCTACAAAACTATTGTCATAATGCAAAATAAATCTAAAATAGGCTTTTTTTATTATAAAAATTCTAAAATTAATATTTTATATAGTTTTTTTTATTATTTTATATTTTTATTTTATTTTCTTATTTTGCGGTTGAAATATGCCCCTATATATACATATTTATTTTTGAAATATACCATTGTTAACCATCATTCCGGTTGATAGAATTATGCCATGTATGTAAATCATTTGTAATTCATGCTAATGTTATGTCAGTGCGAAAGTGTATTTCTGGCTCTCCTGATGAAACCAAGGCTTGAGAGACCGTGCTTATTTTGTTTATGTCTCACGTGCTCGGTGTACTAACATCCTTCGTTCAGGCTACACTAATCGCCGCATGCTTGGAGAAGCTGCCTGCTTTCCACAGTCCATTCATCCCTTCATTCAGCCCATTTGTCCATCCATGTGGCCCGTGGCATGTTTGGCTGCCAGTCACTCTTTCCCAAGGCCCCCTAGCACTACAGTCTCCTCTACCACCCCCCTCTCCTGCTAGGTTCTTGGCCATTTGTGTTTGACACCCCCCGTCTCTCTTTTGCATCTGACTGGTTTGCAGCTGGTTCTTCGAGGCATGAGCGAAGCCTTAATTGACAAGCGAGTAGCCCCGGCCCTTATTACCTTGTGCAGTGGTCCTGAATTGTGAGTTAACCGCAGCTATGAGATGCTTTAAAAACCAAATATCTTGTCTCCTCTCCGCATTCTCTCGGTTGGATATTTTTTATTTTTACTTTTCTGGGGGGGGGGGATATTTGTTGTCTGTTTGTTTCTGTTTTGGTTTTCATACTGACATGGGAATGATCATGTGACATTAATCATCTTGCTTACCACATATTCCATCAAGTGATTGGCATCTCATGGTTCTGTACCATTCATGCATCTTTTATCATTTTAGTGGGTAATGGAATGGTTTCTTTTGGATGTGTAGTGACTGATTTTCTGCTTTCAGCTCAGTGAGGATATCAACAATACCTGCCTTCGGAACTATTATGGAAACCGTAACTCAAAAAGAGGTACGAGTCTTCCATATTACAGACACCCACACAACCCACATATATTTGTTCTGTTACACCAAATACACAAAATAATGATCTTTAAAAAAGCATCATATGACCCCTTTAAAGTATTTAAATCTCTAGTTTATTAAAAAATACACATGTTTGGTTATTGTTATATAATATCATATGTAATATTTAAACACCGTTCTGGGCTTAAAAAACAAAAATGAATATATAAAAAAAATACAACACAACCCACATGTATTTGTCAATTTAAAAGTATTTAAATCTCTGAATTATTGAAAAATTGATATGTTTGGGTATTGTTATACACGTATCATATGTAATATTTAAAAAAAAAAAAAAAACATCCCAACAGAACACAGTTCAGGGCTTTAAATACAACATAAAATGAAAAATATCAAATAAATAAATGTATATATTTATTATATATATTATACATAATTATATATTTATTATTATTTACAGCAAAAATAAATGTATAAAAATATAATCTAAACCTATATATAATTTGAACTAAGGTTGACAAAGTGTATAGAGAAGGTCTTATTTATTTTTGTGTCATGTGTGTTTATTAGCTGCTAGAGAGAGTGAAAATGCAGCTGGCCTCTTTTCTGGAAGACCCCCAGTATCAGGACCAGCATTCTTTGCACATGGAAATCATCAAAACATTTGGAAGAGTAGGACCCAACACAGAGCCACGCTTCAGAGATGAATGTGAGCGTCATCACTATGTATTCACTTGCATATGCAAAGTTTTTCACTGTTTGCACAGAGGAAAAACACCATAGCGTGTTGTAATGTGATGATAACAGTACCGTCGTGCTTCTGTGGCTGTGTTTGCCCTTTAGTGCACATACATTATACTGTGGCAGAAGTATTTTCTGTTTCTTTCATGTCCTGTTCTCTGTCTGTTTTTTTTCAACAGTTGTTCTTCCTCATTTGCACAAACTGGCTCTGTGCAACAACCAGCAGACAGTGGAGAGTAAAAGAATTGACATTGCCACTCAACTGTTTGAGGCATACAGCGCCTTATCCTGCTGTTGTATCCTTTATATATTTCTAAATTTGAAGTTTAGAACCGCCTTTCAACTTGTCTTACATAGCAAGGTTTTGACTATTAGCATGAAAGGAATACTTCACCCAAAAATGAAAATGTATGAAAAATGTACTCAAACCATCAAAGATTTAGATGAAGTTTGTTTTTTCATCTGAACAGATTTGGAAAAATGTAGCATTACATCACATCCTCTGCAATGAATGGGTGCCGTCAGAATGAGAGTCCGAACAGCTGATAAAAACATTACAGTAATCCACAAATAATCCACGTCTCCAGTCTATCAAATAATGTTTTGTGAACCAAAAAGCTGCTTGTCTGTAAGAAACAAATCTATCTATCTTTTCTTTTTTTTTTTTTACTTGGAAAAACCATCTTAAACCTTCACCTCTGTTGAAAATATGAGTCCTCTATACTTAGTATTTTATTACACGTAACGCATAACATATATTTTTTTAATTTTGTGTTTATTCATATCATTTTATACAATTCAGTTAATTGAAAAGCTGTTTGTCTAAATCAGCATCTGTTTCTCAGTGGGACAGCTATTTAAAAACCTGAAATTTGTGTAAGCCAATCAGATTGTAACTTGTCATTTTGTCAAGCCTTTGCTATTTTGGGGATACATCAGACAATCCATGAACAGTCAGGGCAATCCTTTGACTGACCATTTGAGGCTTTTTTCAACGAATCAATCAAGCGGTTTTATTGTTTTTGTAAGCCTCAGTAATGCCCAGCGGTTTGCATTTCCAAAAATTTCCAGAAGTTGATTTTTCTCTAAGAGGGAACATTTTGATTACAAATGGAAAACAGATAGACAGCGGAATTGGACTGTACACCTCCACTGCTGATGTTTGGGAGCAGGAGCCATCTTTCACTGGTTTCTCTACTGATTTTGTGGCGTATGGCAGCTTGTATAACCACAGTCTTGCCTCCAGTTTCAACTTAATAACAGATACTGAACACACAGTCTGTGTGGCCACTTTCTCTCTGTGCTTTTTGAGTTTTTGAGCGATGGTCAACTATTTAAGCTGGACATGAGTCTCCATAGCTGGATTTGCATTCTCACTCTCTTTTTTTTTTTTTTTCCTCCTTTTCTTCTGAGAGCTTGGTCGTTGCGAAAATGTTTACATATCCCGCTGGCAGGAAAAGAAAGAAAATAAACCTCAGCCATTTTTGTGCACTAAATTGCAGGGTGGATGGCAGAATTTGTCGTTAACTGCTCTGTGATGTTGTCTGTTTGAGCGAAGAGAGCCTAGCCCAGCCCTTTGGTCAGGATTCCCAGCATACATGCCTTTGCAGATGCTCTTTTGTCCTGTTCTCCCCCCCACCCCCCCATCTTTCTCTGTTTCATTTCATTTTTGTCTGCTGTGTCACAGTTGAGACCCCCCTGTAGCAGTGGCTTGCCCCCCCCAGGCAGTTTTGTAAAACCTCGTCCTGTCTGTGTTTTGAGGTTTTGCAACATGATCAATATGAGGTTGAGTCTGGATCGTGGACTGTATACTGGTGTGTATTTACTGTAAAAGTGCAAGTCATTATGGGGTTTAACAGTGCAAATTTCTCACGGTTGGGTTTATATCAAGTTTTGTGGTGGTCATGGTTTCGGTTTGGTCGCTTTTAGGGGTGCGACGATCATCAGGCTGATACCAGTAACTCGAGTTAACACACTGTGTTTGTTGTTTCATTCATTTGCGGTTTTTAGTCGATTCAGCTGAATTACCAGTTATTCTTGAAAATCAAAATTCGTATAATATTTGGAATTAGTATTTATGTTTTGAGGGGCATTGTGAGCAGAGGTGTCAATTACATGTTCATTTAGTAAAAATGTAATATTTAGCTGTTTTAAGAATACATTTTTCACAGCAGATATTGGTATATGCGGTTTAATTATTTATTTCAAATAATCAATTCATTGGTATATCATGTAACATCATGGTGTAACATAATTAATTGGTAAATCATTTAATTAATTTCATAAAAGATAAACAGCCATAATTGTAGGTCTAATATAGTTTTAAATTTCAAATTACTTTTTTCTGTCTTTTGTTTTTGTTTTCACTCGATGACTATTAGTTTTATAGTAGTTTTATTTTTCTTCGGTGTTTTAGTTAGTAATTTATTTTATGAAACATTTATAGATCAACAGCCCTAATTAGAGGTGTATTATAGTATTCAATTTTGAATTAGTTTTTATTTTATTTTCAGTCTTTTTTGTTGTTTCCACTCTATTTTCATGTAGTTGTAGTTTTTTTTGTGTGTGTGTTTTATCATTTCAATTTAATGAAATTATTAACAACCTTAATTATAGGTTGATTATAGTTTTACATTTTAAATTTTATTTTCATTTTTTTGTTGTTGACTTTTTCTGTTATATAGTTTCAATGTATTAAATTTTTATTGGAGTTATAGTATTTTTGCGCTGTAAGATTCTATTTACACTGTTTTTCTGCTTATCATACTACTTATTGCAAATAATGGCAATTATCTGCCCCTCAGTATTGTAGCACATTATAAAACAATATGAAATAATAACGTATTGAGTGTAAATTATCATTTGAATTCAAATTATTAAATGGATGCCACCTTATTAGGACAATAAAGCCCTCCCTACACCTACCCTAACCCTACCCGATACTTTTTCAACTTTTTGATTATTTCCTTCAATTTTATTGAAAATAAATGCCTTTCCGATGTGATATGAGATTTGAAAAGGGAGAAAAAAAAGTCAAAAAGACTACGGCACGTGTTTTACCATCTACACCACTGGAGCTGATGTTTGATGGTCGTCTTTTGTAGTGTTGACTACCCCAATCACACGTTGGTTGGCGGAGTTAGTGTAAATAGCCTATTTGCACTTAGTGTAAATTGACACTCCGTATATTTATTTCATTATTTTTTTTCTCCCCAAGTATGCATACTGAACTGTAGATGGGTAGACGTGTATATTTCACAGGTATGTTTGACAGTCTTTTCTTAACTCCGGGGCTTTAGTTATTTCTGAAGAACTCATGGTGAATCATTTCCTCCCTGGACTGAGATGTTTGAGGACAGATATGGAGCAGCTCTCTCCGGAGCATGAGGTATTAAATCAAGATTTCAAAAAACATTTTCATAATTGTTTCTTTGTCATGTCTGTATGCCCACCCTGAAACAACATAAACTACCAAATTTTGCTACAAGTTTGATTGCAACATATAATCATTGCTGTTAAAAGGTTAGTTCACCCAAAAAAAGAAAATTCTGTCATTAATTACTCACCCTCGTGTTGTTCCAAACCCGTAAGACCTTCGTTCATCTTCGGAACACAATTTAAGATATTTTTGATGAAATATGAGGGCTCTCTGACCCTCCCATAGACAGCAAGGTAACTACCACGTTCAAGGTCCAGAAAAGTACCAAGATGATCGACAAGGTAGTCCGTGTGACATCAGTGGTTCAACTGTAAAGTTGTAAAGCTACGAGAATACTTTTTTGCGCAAAGAAAACAAAAATAACTGCTTTATTCCACATTTTCGTACTCCTGCGTCACTTGTGGACACGCGTTCACGACAGTATCATGACGTCATCACGCCGGATCTGGGTCAGCGCCGGTGTAGTGCCGAAATTTACACCCTGCCAGATTATGCACCCCCTAGTATTGGTAGGTGTGGGGGAGGGGTTAGGATTAGGGGTTGGGTTGGGATTAGGCAATCAGGTAGCGACTTCAACGAGGGGGTGCATAATCTGGCAGGGGTGCAGAATTCGGCACAACACCGGTGCCGCCACACAACACGAGGGTGAGTAATTAATGACTTTTCATTTTTGGGTGAACTAACCCTTTAATAGTGTTTATCGTCTGTTTGATTATGTCATTAACTGAATTTTACCGTACATTTCTGCCATATGTACATCAATTTGACACAGTCACCACTGACAAGCTACTACTAAATATATTGTAGAAATGAAATTTTCTGTAAAGCTGCTTTGCAACGATCTGTATCATGAAAAGCGCTATACAAATAAACTTGAATTGAATTGTATGACACAACTACAACAACCACCACCTATAATTCTTAATTAAATACTGACCCATAACATTGTGTGCTTTTCCAAAGCCTGGTCTAGTCTTGTCGTCCTAACGTTTTATCACGCTGCATGTCGTGTAACCCAATTTCTATTTATTTCATTTCCTTTGCCTAGTAATGTCCAGCTGATGTGCGTGTGTCTGCGTGTATGTCAGACTTCCCAGCAGTGCTCTAAGAATACTCCCTCTTTTCCCGTTTGTCCTTTAGGTTATTCTCAGTTCCATGATAAAGGAGTGTGAAATAAAGGTGGAGAACAAAGGCATTGGAGAGGCACAAGGGTGAGAAGACAAACTCATTCATTTCATTCATACAGTCACCATGTTTAGTGTTCTTATTTACTGCAAATGAAGCCTCAAATCACTAAGAGGAAAATCTAATGAATACAGTGTCTGCTTCTCCTGTTTTAGTTTAAATAACTCCCTGGCCACAAAACAAAACAAGCGAACAAGTGCTCATTTAGTAGCGGAGTAAAAATAAATAATTTTACAAGAGTTCTCAAGAACACGTACTCAGGAATGCTTTGCGCATGTTAATTTCCTCAATGATTTATCTGTTTGAGTTCAGCTTGGGTTTGACTCAGTGTCTCCACTGCTAGATAGTTCCCATCAGGCATTGCAGGCCACTGGCTTAGCCACATAATTATTGCAAACCCGCTCCATTTGGGCTGTGCCTGTAGGCCAATGGTACTGCTGCTTCATATTACACTTATAGCAGCTGTGTAAAGCTACATGGACACATACACTGTTATTTATTTAATATTTCCACTCCAAATTTGGTGCTGACTGTTTTTTCCTTATATAAAACGTAGTATAATATGCACAATGGATTTTTATTTGCTGAAGTTTGCCATTTTCAAGAGTTGAATGACTTTGTCAAGAAGTGAGAGGGTATGTACAGTCAAGATTTTTGCTTGCTAAGGACTCTCTCTAACTGAGGTTTCCAAAACGAAACATACCCAGCCTGCGAACACGTGTGGCACTCTTTAAAACCTTTAACCTAAAGATGTGGCTTGATTATAAACAGCATTTGTCTTTTAAATTTCACAGTTGGTATCGTAGCAACGCTTCCAGTGGTTTTGTTGAGATATTTATAAATGTTCGAACTTTATAACTGCAGTGAAGTCTATCATTGAGACTGTCACTACAAGTCATGATACATCAGTTGAGTCTGCCTCTCACAAATGGTGTGGGTTGTTCGGGGATCTTTATATTTAATTAGTTGGGCGGGTGACATTTACAGCGTGAATGTTTAGGGGAAACAAGTTCAAGAGCAAGATGTAAAAAAAGATGCGAAAGACAAAGTGATTTACTGAGTGTTTTTAACCATAAAACAGAGATGGTGGTAAAATCTTCACTCAAAAATGATTCCGTTCATCACATAACTATGTGTTATTTCTTTTGCATGACCTTGCAAAGTTTTATTCACGCCCAATCTGCCAAAATGTGACAACGGACATATTATATATACAACTAATATATTGCAAAAGAATTATCAGAGAATCCAGAAAAAGGCGTGTCACTCACAGTTTTCACAAAAATATTGAGCAGCACAACAGTTTTCAGCTTAGATAATAATAAGAAAATTCAGCTTTGCCTAAACAGGAAGAAATTACATTTAAACATTTTTAAATTTGTAAGTTCACAGTAATTTAGGTCTTAATTGAAAGCAAACGCGAGAGAAAGAAAACACATGTGTAAATAACAGCATATTGGATCCGGGTAGCTCTTAAAGTGACAGCAGTCTAATATTCCTGCTGTCTGTCATTCATGTTAATCAAACAACAAAAGAGAGAAAATCTCTCACTGCTCTTGACTAAATCACTTTTGTAACTTTAAGAAATACATTTAATTAACACAGTGAAGAATATGCAGTGTTTTTATGTATTTGATTACTTTATACAGTGTATGTAGCATTTCTTATTTATTTGTTCTACTGTAGTATTTTTGTCCTATTGCTTCTAATTCAAAACATTATTCAAGTTCTAAATGGATTATGTAAGCCTAGAAAGCCAGCAAATAGCACTTGCATCTAATCACAAAAAAAGCTCTCACTTCATTTTATCGCGATCTCACAATGTTTCATTATAATCAATGAAGCTCTTATTTACATTGTGTTACACTTAGTTAAAATGAGAGGATTTGCGAGCATGCAGGCAAAAATTTGGCATTTAGAGGTTTGTGAATTCTGACTAACTTGACCGCAGTGGCCAATCACAGGTGTTCAAGTAATCAACAGATATGTCTGTGACTTACTACACTGCTCAATGCAACAAAAACATGTTGTAAATAGAAACATTTGATGCTTTCCAGAGCGCAAACACAAATACGCACTGGAGCCTTTACCAAATTTGTTTCGCCAATATCCTATTATTACAGTTTAACTGGGGCTACTTTTGACTCCGTGAGAAAGTAGATGTGTGGCATGAGAGCGTGAGAACCGTGTCAACTGCATGAGTCTCACGCTGAATGATACATAGTTGGGATGTTCATTTTGGTTATTTTTCCTAATCGACAACCGACGCTCGTTAACCGATTATTAACCGTTAACGGACAAGATTATTTTAAATTCAAATTTAATTAAATTAGAAAGGATACGTGTCTGTGACCCGTTAAAAAATACTAACATTTGTTTCCCAGGGATTATTTGTACATGCGCAAAAAGCAGCAAAAAACAGAACATGAGGATTCACATGGTCATCATATCACATCACGCACCTGCAGCGCTTCTGCGAGTGGAGAAATACATAATAAAGCTAGGCTATAGGCCTATATATATATAACGAAAAATAGGCCTATACGAGAAATATATTTTTACTTAATAAATTAAGAAAACAAAAGAAAAACTGTGCAACAAGTTGCCTAGTATTCAGAGTTTCAGTTCATTTTTGTGCTGCGCAAAAGGAAACCAGACGGCAGAAAGCGGCATCCTATTTTTCTTTAGCATTTAGTATTTAGTATTTTACAAAAGCACAAAGATTTGTTTTTATTGTGAATGTACTGTTAATTGAAAGGATTTGTTGTGGAGTGAGGGGAACTAAAATAGCCTAGCTATGTTTACAGTGTTTATTATAATGTTTGTAAACATTTCGTGTCGGCATTAGGCCTATTTCTGAATGAAATAATAAAATGCGACTTAGACGCAAATTTTTTTTTTCCTTTAAAAAACACTTTTTTTTTATACGCGTAGCGTACATCAACCATGCAGCAAACCTTTTTAAATATTTTGATAAATTACTAAAAATAAATAAATGACTTTTTAAACCGTCTAACTGATTGTATTAATCTGTCAAAATTATTCACGGTCGGTTAACTGGTTAAAATGAACATCCCTAATAGATAGATAGAGAGAGAGAGAGTGTGTGGAAAATATTTATTTGATACCCTGCTGATTTTGTAAGTTTGCCCATTTACAAAGAATTGAAGGGTCTGTCATTTTTATGGTAGGTTTATTTTAATGTATGGAGACAGAATACCAACCAAAAAATCCAACAAAATCAGCAGGGGATCAAATAAATATTTTCCCCACTGTATCAGCAGCTGGTGCTTATACGACCCTTGATTGGTGGGTGGATTCTGACCTATGAATGCGGTGATGTCTCTTTTCAGGTCCATCTCTATTGCAGCGAGTCTGGTGGGTGAGGACGCAAAGACCAAGTTTCTAAGTAAGATGGGCCAGCTGACCACCTCAGGTGCCATGCTGGCGAATGTTTTCCAGAGAAAGAAATGAGAGCTGTTTTGGGTGTTTCCCATGAACCCTCCACTTTCTGGGATCTCCTACTTGAAGTCAATCGTCTGCCTTTCTTTTGTTTGTCTTTGATTTGATAGGCTATATTTTTAACATATTTATGTCTTACATTTTTTTCCAGCTTCCAAAGAAATTTGCACTCATGTGTCAATGTTTTCCTTTTTTTTTATTATGATTTTATTTCAGAGGCTTATTTGCATCACTTCACCTGTTTTTGTTTGTTTTTTGGACAATGTGAACTTCATGAAATCAAAACAATGATTCCTTCCTCTTCTTGTTGTCTTTTATGTGTTGCTGTGTCTCTGGAGAATATTTTCTACATAAGTGTGTAAAATTGTCCGGGGTTTTGTTTCTCTTATTTTGGATATGCTCCAACAGTAAATAACTGTAAAATACAGTGAATCGAGAGAACAGTACCCATTATCATGTATATTTTAAAATTTGTGTCGTAAGATAATAAAATGTGAAGACCACTTATGTACTTCTGATTCAGTGTGTTGTCTCTTGAACTCTCTTTCAGATGGCTTTTTGCTTTCTTAGACGTCCGGCTTGACAGCAGATTTCGTGTCGGCATTAGGCCTATTTCTGAATGAAATAATAAAATGCGACTTAGACGCAAATTTTTTTTTTCCTTTAAAAAACACTTTTTTTTTATACGCGTAGCGTACATCAACCATGCAGCAAACCTTTTTAAATATTTTGATAAATTACTAAAAACTCATGAGCGCAGGGCAAGAGTTGAAGAGCACTGTGAGTCAGATGCCAGGAACATTTCCAAACCCGGAGAGAACGGCTGCATAAAACCACGGGAACATTCTGCCTCTCCGTGTTTTTATTCCTGTTGCGTTGTTGACTGAGTGCATAACAAGACAGCAAACAGGAACTAAAAACCTTTGAGTTCCGGCCAATATGTGTCCACTTTGATGGCAAGTTATGAAGGCGTTTTGGAGAGTCAAGATCTCAATCTTGACTTTTTATCTAATGATTCTGGCTTATGTCTTATTTTGACTATTTTAACTAAATGTTTCATAATTTTTTTTTTACTTTTAATGTCATGGTTTTGTCTTTTAATTTTAATTATTTTATTTATTTTTTAAAGAGTTATTTTTGGCAATTTTGCCTTTAATTGTGATAGGATAGTTTAGAGTTGACAGGAAGTGCATTGAGAGGGAGAGGGGGGCAGGATTCAAACTCGGGACGCCCATAGCACGACAGCCCTGTATGTCGGCGCACTGCCCACAAGGGTATCAGCACCATTTCGATCATTTTATGTCATAATTTCAACTTTTTGTTTCATGATTATGGCTCAGTATGTCATATGTTGACATTTTTTATCTCAACACTTTTTATCTCAATTACTTAGTTAATCTTAGTAAATTATTGTTTAATTTTGTCTCATTCATATTATTAAAGGGATAGTTCACCCAAAAATGAAAATTCTGTCATTAATTACTCGGAACACAAATTAAGATATTTTTGATGGAATCTGAGAGCTGTCTGACCCTGCATAGTCAGCAATACAACTGAAATGTTCCCAAGTGTAGAAACGTAGCAAGGAGATCGGTAAAATAATCCATGTGACATCAGGGGTACAACCGTAATTTTACAAAGCTATGAGAATACTTTTTGTGCGCAAAAGAAGAAAAAAACGACTTTATTCAACAATTCGTCTCATCCGCATCACACTGTAGCGCCATTTTGGAGAGTATCAGCTGGACGTAAATGGTGTATGCTGTTCTGTGTAAGCTGCGTCATACGGATACGCTGTTTTCGTTCAGATCAAATCACAACAACGTAGGAAACAGATCCAGCGTGACGTCTCTGGACTTGGGAACATTTCAGTTGTATTGCTGTCTATGCAGGGTCAGACAGCTCTCAGATTCCATCAAAAATATCTTAATTTGTGTTCCGAAGATGAACGAAGGTCTTACGGGTTTGAAACGACATGAAGGTGAGTAATTAATGACAGAATTTTCATCTTTGGGTGAACTAACCCTTTAAGTATGTCAAAATTTTGACTTTTTATACAATAATTATGATTTTTTTTTTTATCTCAATTTTCATTTTGACATATAGAAAGACAGAATTATCTGATATTTTAAGACTTCTTGACCTTAACACACAAAGTGGTCCATTTCCACTGGTGTACTCTCTATGATGTCATTTCCTGTTCTTTTCAACATTTTAATGTTGGTTGCCCTACAAAACTTTGATTTGATGTGTATATATATATATATATATATGTATATATATATGTATATATATATATATATGTGTATACATATATAACATATATATGATATGTATGTGTGTGTGTGTGTATATATA